ACGGAGTCTCTTTTTTCGCAGGATTTTGACCGTTTCACTCCGTTCTTTCGCCATTTCCCCACTATATAGCGCCCTACTAGCATTTTAGGCCGAGCACCAATCATCGTGCCAACTGCCTTTAAGTCCTGACAAAATCACATTGACAAAAAGAACGGTAAAGTCACTTTTCCACGATCGTGTTGGCTTTCAGAGAGCCACGTCGCGACCGCCCGCAGACAGGCATGCTGGACTTAGGCCCAGGTTTCTGCCTTTGAAAAGTGTGAAATTGACGATTTTTTCGTTCATAACTGGAAAAACAAGCTGAGTCGCTGAGAGGGCTCTTTCGAAAACTCTTCTAGGTTCAGACTCACCACTCTCACATTGCCACACATGGAACACTTGGTCGCCGACCTTAGCAAACTCCACGACAGGGCCGTTGATCGACTCTCGCCGTACCGTGTACGTGCACAAAGGCATTTTCACTGTGTCGAGCAAGTCAGTCGTTGGTATCATACTGTAATTGTTGATCAGTAAGCAAATACAATAGGAAGACTCAATGTGGCGACTGCTACCGACTTGAGTAGTTGAGAAACCATCTAGGTTTAAATGAGTAGATAGTTTTTGAAAAGGATTCCCTACATGCGAAACATTCCGCTCTTTTTAAAAATTCTCCTCGGTAATAGGGCAGCATCGTGATGTGTGAAATAGCGGTGTTAGTACCGCCCCCCGAATTACTCATCTGATACGACCCCCTATCCAATCCTACCTGCCATCTTCCTGAATGTTACCAGATTCCTACCAGTTTTCCAAGGTGCAGTGGTCACCATTTGAACTCCGACTATCAGAAATAATAGTTGTGTAGTAATTTTGCAGTGATGGAAACTAGCGGGGGGGACATAAGTGAGTTGGGGACTGCACAGGAGGGCACATCATTGGTTGGGGATTTTAGTTGAGTCTGTACGACCCTTCCCCCCAAAGCCCTCTGTCCTCTTCATCGAATCTTTGCCGTCGAGAGGGGTCGTATTTGGGCAGCCAGGGGAGGGGGGGTAAATAGCACATGGTCGGAAACAAGAAAAATCGCGAGACGAATAGCGACGCACCCCCTTTACAATAAGAAATTTTCTCCCAAGCATCCTGCCAAACTTTTTTCGGCGCGAAAATTTCCGGAAAACTTCCTGCTTTATTTTACCAAAATATTTGCTGTCGAATGCGCGGGGCGGGGACATATAGTAGGCATGGAACAGGTAAAACAGCACCGAAAATCATGAAAAATCAAACCACCTCTCCGTACAACGCGCAAACGTTAAATAGCCAGCCCTCCTCCCATCTTCGCCAAAATGGCGCCAAGTACGACCCCCCCTCTTCACAACACCGTCCATGAAGCGAGAAAAATCAGACTATCAAAATAAATTTTTCTCAGCCCAAACATGATTCCCCCTCTCCTGGCGGCCAAGTGCGACCCCCCCCCCCCCCCTGTTGGGATTCCCCAACAAACGCATGTGCCTGCTGCATCAGCTCACAGGCAAAGGGAAAAGTAAAAGGGGAAGTGGAAAAACCGCAGAGAGTCGACAACGGGAAGAACTTTCCGCCTGGCTACAGGACAGTTTTTCTCAAAAGGCAATTACCCTTTCTTCTGACGGGTTTCTTCCAATATTGTTGTGCCCTACACTGCTTGGTAGGGTACAACAATATTGGAAGAAACCGGTCAGGAGAAACGCCTTTTTGGCAGCGCAAAAATCGTTAAAACTGCAAGTTGATGAGTGGCACTACGAAGATGAGATCTTTGATTCTCTCTGCCTGAACCGAACACTATCCACAGATATACTCAATATCCCTGAGATGGGGTAGGCGTGGCTGCATACTTAAACGTAACCTGAAGGAGTCTACGCTTCTGGTGAGATATTTTCATCTTGACACAATTGTTGTCGTGTCTCTGCCCAACACAGAACAAGATGACAGTTGTCCCAGACTGGAATATTCCACGAGTAACCAGTTCCGTGCCATGTTCAAATGCCACGCCTACTCTGGCTCAGGGATAAGGAGTGTATCAACAGATGCGGGCGCATTCGAAAGCTAAAATTATGTGAACCCTCTAGGGCGAGAAACTGACTGCGAAGACCCTTTTATCAGAAAAAGAATGCTCACCTAACATCGAACTTATTGGAAACCACTTTGTCATTTTCCATGTAGAAACAAGTGCATCGATAGGCTCGATCCACTTTAGTGATAAACGTTGAGTGAAATGAGATTATGATTGTGATCGACTGCTCGAAACTCCACTCTCTCCCGGTCCCAGCTAGAAACTGAATATTTTTGTCAAAGAAACAAACGCTAACTCTGCAGAGCTGTAGAATCCCAGTAGGAAGGTTGTATGCCAAAAAAAAACTTTTAAAGAGCACAAGTATTGGTTCGGCCCTTAAGTAATAGGCGTTTTTTTTTCTCACGTCCGAAATATCGCGCTAAGATGAAAAGTTTTTGGCCAATGAGTTTCATACCGTTTATTTGTAGAGAGCTCCTTGCCTAATAGCGAATAGTCTTGCTCAGTTTTCTCCAAAGTTTCGTCTTCCACTAATATTTACATGCTCAAACTGGAGTGTCAGGTCGTCGAATTTGAGTATTTTCGACAGCTTCTCTTTTATACCTCTAATTAAAAAGCTAAAACCGCATGAGCCCAGTTGCTAAGTATATGGCTAAAAGGATTTTTATGTCTCTAATCGTTAGGGATGCTAATAATACTTTAGGTGATTCAAACATTCCAGTTTCGACCTTTCGGACAAAACAATGCCATTGGAACTGAATGCCCTATACTGTCGCAAGCTGAGAGTTACGAAATAAACATCTTTTCATTCTATAAAACCAGTAACTTTGTGTGTCGGTTTGTATGTTTGTATGTAGGTTTGTATGTATGTTTGTCTGTCCGTCCGCACAATACTTCACGGGTTCGAAGTTCGCTGGAGGCGAAAGATTAAAAAAAGAGAATATATAAAATATGAAACGACCGCTAGGCACAGGACGTAACCGATTGGGAGGATGTAGCAATCCAATGATTTGATTGTGATAACAGCCTCCGCTATATAAGACAACCATTCGGTACACTCCGAGCCATTGCACGAGCTGCTGCCGTGGCAGCTGGACGTGTGCTCGTGGGCAGGGTGGGGGTGCCCAGTCGCCCTGCCTCCCTCTCCTGCACGTGCTCAGCCGGAGCTGGGCACATGTATGGGAGGAGGCAGAGTGAAGGGGTCGCGGGGAGGGGTACAGTGAGGGGTGCGTAGCGCGCGTTTCAGTAGAAACGCGCACCAAGGGATGAGGAAACAACCGCTAACAAAACTGCAAGCCATTCTATGTTACCGTAACGAACTAAGAAGTTGTTTTGGATGTGATAACACTCTCCACGACATAAGAAAACCACTACACTCCGAGCCATTGCACGGGTGGCAGTTGGACGTAAGTGCGGCAAGGAGCAAGTGGGTGGTGGAATCGAGTGACCCCCTTCTCCCATCCTCACTCCCTTGCGCGCACTCAGTCGGATCTGAGCCCATGCAGGGGAAGGAGGCATATGGATTGAATCGGGCAAACTGGGTACACAGTAAGGGGATGCGTAGCGTTCGCATGAATAGGAGCAGGCGGCAAGAGAGAAGGAAACAACCGCTAGCAAAACTTCAAGGTAATCCATGTTACAGCAACGAACTAAGAAGTTGTTTGGATTCTGAATCGCTCTCGCTATCTAAGCCTACCACTTTGATAGACTCTGTGCTATTGCAGGAGCTGATCGCTTGGGAGCTGGACGTGAGCACGAGAACAGTGGCGCGTAGTGTCCCTATGTTGCACCAGCTGCTCACGTGGCGGCTGCATACCACGTGCGGGAGTGGGCGCCGGTTAAATAGGGTCAGTGGGATATGATGTGGTGAGGGGATACCAGATGAGAAGGGCGATTTCGCAGAATAGGACAATAGGTTGGGGGTGTCGCCTCTACCGGTTGCCAGTACCTAGATGAGAGGAATGAGCGCAATCGGAACTAACCGATAATGTTGCATTACCAAAATTGTGGTAGCGTTTTGATAGTCATAACACCCTCCACAACATAACCATTTAGTGCACTCAGAACCATTGCACGGGCTATTCGCGTAGCAGCTGAGTGTGACCTGTAGGGTGGCTGAGCGGGGAATAGCTGAGGTTAGTTTGGGGATAGGTGAGGTGAAGGGGTACCATATTGGCGCGACCGACGCTCGCCTGAACAGGAGCACGCAGCGACTGCGGAGACCGAAGAATCCGTGGCTGTCATAAGATGGGGAGGAACAGGTTAAATCGATTATTCGCATGAGCAGATTTTTTGAACTTTTCATTATGAAAGTGCCTGCCGATCATATGGCGCGTTTCTACTTTATTTGATGAAGACAGCGGTTAGTCACCATGAGAGCATCATGAATGCCTAAGACAGTAGTATCGCCCTGCTTATGCCTTACTTTGCTCCTTTCTTTCACGAGCTAAGAAGTGAGCGCCTCAGAGCAAGTTTGCATGAGCCGCGAAGCCGGGCTTCACAGGCGGCCGGGTAGCCGGGCGCATCCGACTGGTTTAAAAGGATAAGGATAAAGTCTTCGCCCGTTGATCAATCCCTTTGTGGGCGCATTCTACTTCCATTCAGAATCGTAGTGGCTTATTGAATGCGATGTGGCCTATACAATGACTTGCGGTGGCCAGCCGATGTACAAGTCAGTGTTTTATCCTCCCAGACGAATCTGGTACCAATTTACCGTCCCCAGGGGGTAGAAGGCTTGGTTGGCCTGGCGGGTGTCGACCCGGGATTCGAACCCGGCGCCGCGCGAGTGGTAAGCGCGCCACTTGTCACTACACCACCTCCGCCTCCACGAAAATACATTAAGCTAACTAAAGAAATCATGCCAAAGAGAGAGGGGTGGTTAGAGGTCATAAATGCTTCCTTTTCTAATCAGTCACACCCTATTTGATGGCTTAAGACGTATCGGTAAATAAGTGATAAGAATTTTGCAGGGCAGTCCCTGCCTCAAGAGGCCCCCCCACGCGAATGCCCTTTATCAAGATCCGACATTCCCGATTTCTTGATCGCTTGAACCACTTCAAGGCTGTCATAAGACGCATCTTTCTTCGGTCATATATACCGCAGGGTTTGAGCTTCTTCTGTAGATTGAGAGCCGAGATAAAATTCAAAAAGTAGTTGTCGAAAACTCACTTCTGGGTCGGCCCAGATTTCCCTTTCAATGAAATAAAAATCGACACAATTCGAGATAGTAAGGAGGGCGATTACAGCTAATAGTTATAGTGCGCGGAAAATTATCTATCAAAGCAGAGGCAATTCGCAACAAATTGTAATTTTCCATATAAATGAGTTCCGTTGTGACAAAAAAAAACGCGGCCATTAACTTATGGGCGAACCTGACAGTTACGAACTTGCGACGCGGACTAGTGAAGTGCGGGGTAGCAACCCTTGCTGCGGCGCGTCGCTGCGTAATCGCCAGTGAATTAGCGGAACAAAGATACAGTCCTCATCATTGCGGACCGGTGGGGCGTGTCAGTGCGGCTGCGTTTGGCGCGGTGCCAAAGTCGTTCTGCACCAGTTGTTGAAGCGGGCAAGTGACATTACTGTATTATATCCTTCGTATTACTCGTTTTCTACCACTTTTTGTCGCATACGCGTTTCAAAAAAAGGCTGAGAACGGCTTCAACAGTGTGCACACTCATACTGGCTGACACGCCCCACCGGTCCGCAATGATGAGGACTGTAATT